AAGAATAAAATACTTTAAAATTGTATCATGCCGAGTTTGTCTGAGCTAAATTATGATGAAGCAAAATAATAAAATTAATTATGATGATGATGACGACGATGATGGTAATGATGATGAGGATGAAGAAAAAGAAGAGGATGAAGATGGTGATGTGGATGATGGTGATGATGATTTTAGCCACCTGAACAGTTCAATAGAAAACAAGGTCATTATTACTATAACAACATAACATCAACAACAATAACAACATCACATAAACAGCAACAACATCATCATTTACAACAGTAACAACATCACATCAACAGCAACTACATTACACCAACAACAACAATTTAATTACAGCTTACTGATTTATTAAAACCGACTTACCTAGTCAATAAATTTTAAGATTTCGTAACGTTAAAAAATTTATTATTATTTGTTGATGTAATTATTCGTTTTATTATTACTATATATAATTTATTTTTATTAATGCACGTGTGCGTGTTTGTGTATGTGTATGAGTTTGTGTGCTTGCGTGTCTGTGTGTGAGCTTGTGTGTGTGTGTCTGTGTGTGAGTTTGTGTGTGTGTTTGTGTGTGTGTGTGTGTGTGCGTGTGTGTGTGTATCGCACTGCTTGAATAATTTTACTAATTTTATTAACACTAAACTGCACGATCCTTTAAAGGCATCGTGAGAAAGTTTGAAATGAGCAAGAGGCTAAACGCACTTAGAAATAACATCATGAAAGTTAATTACCTAATTAAATATATAACTAATTAATTAAGTAGTTAATTAATTGAATGATTGATTGGCTGGCTGGCCAATTAGAACTAATTAAAATCGATCGTATTGGTTGGCTATTTTTAACTTGGGTATTTATTTTTCATGACAATAAAGTCTTTTCTTTAGTTTATTACAAAAATCCCATAAAAATATTAATCGTTAATAATATAATATATTATAATATAATATACACACACGCACATAATAATATATATGACAAAATATAATATATATATATGTAATTATTCACATTATTGAACGCATCTTGTACATAAGTTGTATATATATATATATATATATATATATATATATATATATATATACTATTACCAACATATATATATATATATATATATATATATATACAGTATTGTATGAATTCTGCCGAATGGTTGGAATTAATCAATTTAGAGTGTTGTCTTTTCAATTTTACTTACTAGAATATTCTAGAAATTGTTCAGTTTGTTGAA